CTTACATTCAGCTGTGCTCTATCTGTAGTATGTTGATTAAATTAGATTATGGAACTAAAAAAAGATGCCATTTATTTTTACAGATAGAATGTTCTAATCAGTAAATTAAGTTAAAGTCTTGATGTTAAGAGAATGGCTTGTGAGAAGTTGACCTCAACTTCTGGACATTGATACAACTTTATCAGTACTTTAATCACTTAACAACTTCAATGAGTCTTATAAGCAACAGGCTGGGTGCTTAAATGGTCTTAGACTACAAAAGAGGCAACAAACTTATATGTCACTCATCACATATGATTATGTTAAAGTGTGACGTGAACTGGATCGACTGTCACTGATTAGTATTACACAAAACTCGTCTTACCAGAGCTGTGGTTGTTTTACCATCTAACCCCTTCAAAAGGATCTGCTGATTCTTTTTCTGTCTCTTCTTCCTTTTGCAGCAACATTTGATGCAGATGCAGAGGCAACAAAGCAGAATAATGAGGCCACCCATTCCAAAGATTGCATAGATTGCCCATCGTGGCACTATAAAATGGAGAATGGAAAAATAGTCAGGTTAGGTTTTTTGTGGTGAAAAGGCTTCTTTGGTTCTGAACATGGTTGGAACTAACAGGCTTATAGATCATAATCAGAACAACCGCACTAATAGAGACAGAAAGTTTGATTCCTGCATAAATCTACCTAAAAGAGCTTATTGCTGTCTTTAAACCCGTCTCTTGTCCTTCAGATGTACATGAAACACAACTTCTTGAGCCAATGAGTTTGCTCTTCTGAGTTCAGATACACAAACAAAAACTCAGCAGCATATGCAGTCTAACGCAGTGAGCATATGCAGTCTAACGCAGTGAGGAATGTTCATCTCAAGGTCAAGGGACACTTGTTTGAAGGCATTAAAGTTTTGGACATGGAAAGACTGCCGATTTGAAAGACAAATGAAAGAAGCCATCCATGTTAAAAATAAGAAGCCAACTCCAAGCAGCGGAGGTGGACTCAGATTTCATCTTTCTAATATTTATTCTGCAGCCCTGAGTTGTTGTCACAGACGGTTTTACAATTCACACAGTGGGACATGCAACCACAACGAGTGACATGGCATTGTCAGGGACACAGACACTGACCTGAATTGAGGATAGGGCCAATGACTCTGGTGTCCTAATGCCCAGCAAGTGACTTTAATGTTAACGTGATTGTTCTTACAACAGTTTATAAGCCTGTCACTTCAATGTTCAGACATGAAGAACCCTTTATGTTGAGTGTTTAAATGTGTTCAAGAAACAAGTTCTGTTGTCTCCTATGCATTTGGGATTATATAATCTGTGCATTTCAACAAGAAGAAGAAGAAGTCCGGTTGCCTTAAAATGACCAACTTAAGGTTGCCAAGTCCAGGTTGAAATAATATGCACAGCAAACAAAATAAACCTGTTTGCAAATTCACAGCTCATCCAACTCTAATGTATGTTATAGTTGTGCATTGTTAAACAACACCAGGTGCATAGATCATACCTGAAAGGAGAAAGTAACAACGCAAGAATAAGGATCAGCTGCTGGTTGGTAGCTTACAGGGAATGTGGTCCAGCAGGTCTTCAAAAGAACCAGGAGCTGGATGAACTGAGGCATTGTGGGTAGACATGGTGGAGACAATGTGGATGGGTTGATTGGTGACTGTTGGCTTTGATGATCCAGCTTTCATTTGAGCCCCTGATTTTGATGCTCTATGTCCCCAAATTGAAGATCTTGATGGGTGATGGACTGCAGGCATTTTGAAGAGGTCTAAAAGCAAGAGATGTGAAAAAACATAAGACTCTGCTTCACACATTAAAAAAAGATAATTATTTTCCTTAATAATTTATCATTTCATTCACATGTGTCTTCAAATGAGGGCAGTCCAACCATCAGCAGTAAAAAGGGTTTAAAAAGTGGAAGAAAAGAAAGCATGCCCCTTGAAATCTAGGATTTCACTCTGAGACATCCTAGAAATCATACATTTTTACCTGATTTTACAATTGTTTGCACCTAAATTCAAGTATGCAAAAATGACAAAAGATTGATAAATTCATTCATTGATAAATGTCCAACATGTTTTCATAAAACGAAACTCTTTCTACAATGAATCAAAAGATTTTGAACTAGTTGTTTTTTAAGGGTGGCTGCACATCACATCATATGCCAGTGACCCATAAAGGCTTCATCTGTAGTCCCTCCAGCTAAAATAAATAAGAATACAACATATCACAGTGCAATGCAGGCAGCTTAACTAGTTTAAATAATACAAATACAAATAATACAAATAATAAATAAAAAGCATTTTTATTTATTATTCAGTCTTCACTTTTATTATATAGATCCTGTTTTAATCTGGTAATGTACTCAAACCTTTTATTTTATGCTTGCTATTTTTTTAAATTCTAATTATCTTTTTTAAATAGTAAATTATGTACTATATTAAAGTAATACTTGATTCTTTGAAAAAATGAAATATGATCATGTTTAACCTGTTGCAAATTATATTAATACAACTTAAAATCTTAATTAGCCATTATTTTTACATAAAACGGAGGAGCATTCAAACCTTCTGCTCCCGATTAACAGGTACGTCTGTTAGTGGTTTTACAAAACAATTTTCATTCCTCTCTCCAGTTCTTGACATTGTTCTAGAATGATGCCTCACAAGGGAGAACAAAATATACTTTACATAACAACTAGAATATTCTAAATGAACAAACACAACCTACAAAATGCTTTTTTACAAACTCTTTTTCAATAAGAAAAAAAGCATAAAAACTGTAGGGAATAATTTTAATGTCATACTCACTTCTGAGTTTCATAGATAAGTTCACATTTTCATATTTTCTGACGACTGCTTCTGAGGTTTGTAACTCTGAGTGAAAGAAAAGTTGTGCCAGAGGAAGGAAAGTACATTTAACGGCTGAACGGCAGGAGTCCAAGCATTTCAATCAAAGGGAGGAAATGTCTCCTTCCTGCACTTACACCCAATAATGCTCTTTAGTCTAAATGTAATCAGGAGAATACGTTACAAAACATCCCAGTAAAGAACTTTACTCTGGCTTTTAAAAAAGTCAATTATGGTGACAAACCTAAAAATTAAATGACAAAATTCTGTTTGACACAATCTTACATTCACACTTGAATTAAGCTCAGTGACTAGATTTCCCACTAAGCTTCCAGTAAGCATCCACTCTGAGGTCCTTCAGAATTTTTTGCCAAGATTTTGAATAATTCAGTGGTTTAATGTAAAGGGAAACAGAAAATGTGCAGGTTATTTCTTTCGCGTTACCAGTCAGGTCTTTCTCTGATTGTTTTTTTGTTTTTACTGTTGTTCATTTGCTGGGAAGCGTAACTATACCAAAAAGCCGTTTTTTTAAACACAAGGACTAGTTCAAAATTTTAAAAGCTTAAATAGTAAACTACACTATAAGCACATTTTCTGTTTTCCTGTTTCGAGAGAGTGTGGCTTGCTTAAAAATGATCTGTAAGTAAATACTAGCTGCCAAAATACCTCCACTGTCAGCTAATCAAAAAAAATCCAGCTCCATTTTTTTTTCTTACTGGTGCATGAAATGTTCAAAATAATTTCTGTTCTTCATTTAGTCCACATTGATTTAATTTATTTTGTTTCAGGCATGATCCGTCATGAAATTAAAATATCCATTCAACCCATTGAACTGTGGGCAAAAAGCTGGGTTTGTGCTGAGGTTTCACTCATCCGTCATTTCAAATGTTCCTGTTGGTTCTGTGTTCAGTAACCATAGCTCTACAAACCATGCATGAAAAGTCAGCAGTTTCCCAGCTCTGAGGTGATAAACATGGTGTACCTGTTATTCAGAAATGAAGCAAGTAAAAAGAAAACTTTGTTATATTTTGAACTTGTAACATGGTGGACTAACACACTGCTGTTGACTTGGTAGTGTAAACGTAAAGGGTGTGAGTGAGAAGAATAAAACATTTTAAAATCAGTTTATGATCTCCCTAATAAAGTTGCATTTAGCTTATTTTAAATGTTTATTTTAATTCAATTTAAATCAGAAAGTATGCTTTTGCTCATCCATCTGTCCAATTGAATTGTCTTACTATGGTACAATAAATTATGCTGTATTCTTTTCTATACATAAAGAAAAATCAATATTAGGATTACCTTTATATTATAATGGTAAACTACACCAATTAGGTGTAGAAACGATTTTATTTGTATGTGAAAACAAGTGCAGCTGCAATTTGAGGTTTTGTAGATTTGCAAAATAACTAATATTAGAGATTTTAGAGACAGCTCTGTTTTAATAGACTGTAATTGCTTTGTTAATGCAACATTATCCTCAATGTCTTTTGAACTAGAAACATGTCTGCACCTACACAGTACAAAAAGAAAGACAAGAAAAAAGTCAGTAGAATAGTGAGAGTAAAATGAAGCGTCTGAACTGGAGCACCAACAGTATCATTACTCAAAAAGTAAAACCAGCACAATACCTGAGGCAGTCGCTGCAAATTGTGGGATTTTCTTGCATTACTTTATGAATTCAGGCTGTTAATAAAAGTGCCACTGCTCTGCTGAGGTCCTTCATCTTCAGCTGGTGAGTGTTTACTTGAGCCAGCAGCAGCTGCCACACCCTCACTCTGGACCGTCAGTGTTCAAACACAGGTGGAGTTTCTTCTTATTTACTGAGAGCATCAGAGCAGCTCCTGACAAAACAAACAGCTGAACTCAGTTACTTATATTGGGGCTACGCAGGTTTTTACAAGCTCCTAGTTGTAAGAATCAGTCTTTTTAGTGGCTATGCGAAACATGTTTACTACATTTTTTTTGCACAAATTCATTTTTGCATAATGAGATTTTGGTCTGCTGCAGCACCAGGAACTCTTAAAGAGAGGAAGTCGATACAATGCTGCACATACAACCTCCACTCCCTTTAGCACACGAAGCTCTCCAAAAAAAAACTACTGATTTCAGCTTACTCAAGCCAAATATATGAATGAAAGAAAAGAATCTTTTATCATCTTTAATGAAAGATTTGTATTGAAATCATTTAGCATCTGATAATTAAATACAAACAGTTCTTTATCTGTCAGCGCTGAGAGCCGTGTTTCAGCATCAACAATTGGGGACCAACGCTGCATACTGTCGATGCAAAGAGGAACAAAAACAACCTTGTCCTGTAGGTTTGGGTCCAATCTGTTGAGATGCTTCTGAAAGAAAGTGCATCCAGTATATTTCAAATTTTACAGAGCTGAATGAAGACACCACCACATAAATATTTATGGAACTGGATTTATTGGCTGGGATGAATGGAGCAGTCAGTCGACTGCCTAACTGAATCAGGAAAGGCCTCTCAATAGTTCACCTTTTAAACAGTCTACGATGAGGAAGGAAGAAATCAATAGCAGAGTTGCAGAGAAGTCAACATTTATTTAAAAATGTGCTGTTTACATGTAGGGAATGGGTCCAAACAGAGCAGAGAGATTTCTACATTAATCTTAACTTCAGCTCCCAACTTTCACACAATTAAAAGAAAGAATAAAAACAAACCAGCAAACATCCTTTCCTTCAGTTAGAAGACATCACAGTTGTCTCAGAAAACCATCCATCCCTGTTCCACAAATGGGTGAAGAAAATATCGCCATGGCAACTTTAAAGTACATGCTGAAAACAAAGCAGTCTCACACAAGTCAGCTTCTGTTCAGCTTTCAAACCCATTTTAATATTCTTTTTGGAGCACTTAAATAACATGAAACTAATTGTGATTATCCCGTCGTGATGGACACAGGATCACAGGTGGCTTAAGTCAGTGAAAGTCTCGATGCAGACGGTACGTGTCCCGTTTCTCCAGCAACAGCGCCACGGATGCTGCAACCTCAAAAGTTGATGGCTTTTCCGAAGGACGCCGCCAGGTTGGCTTCTCTGAAAGCCTCCGACACCGTCTGCAGGACGAGGGCAGAACAGGCAGGAAGATGAGCAGGAGGTAAAAATGGTGACCTTATAACAACTCCAGCTGCATTTCCCTCCAACTATAAAACTGTGCATATTGATTTTACAAAAATATATTTGCTTAATTGAAACACATCAATTTCAAAAAGAAAAAAAACTGGCTTAGGATGAGGTGGTTTTTCCAACCATAGCAAAACACTTTTGTCACATCGCATAAGTCATGTGATCAACAGCAGGATGTTACTACTGGAGAAAACGCAGAAGAAAACAGGAAGCTGTTGAAGAACAATGGATTGTTTTAGTTTTTTTCTCACAGCATCACACAGTTCAGAAAAAGTAATTTCATTCCAACATGTTGAATCCATAACTCTTCTGTAAAATCACCAACTACAATTTCCCCAAACGCCTCATAAGTAGCAGCAACTAAAGAGGCGGGGCTTGTTGCTGCAACTCAAGTTTATGCATCCGTGACTTTAATTTCTCATCTAATTGAAACACTTCAATTGTAAAGTTGTGGTTAACATTAGCAGAATATAGACAAAGATTGGCACATATTTGTAATGGAGACGCAGCGACAGACACTACAGAGGGCAAGAATAACGAACGTGAGTGAAGGAATACCTGTTTTAGTTTTGAAATAAATACCTTTGAATCGTTGAATTATTTGGATATCAACTTGTCCAGCAAGTCTGATGAAATTGAGCTTCTAATCAGTTAGTGACCAGGTGAGAGCATAGCATCACTGACCAGTGGTAGTCAGGGATCAGTACACTGCCACAACTTAGGCCTCACTAGCTTTCCACAGTTCCTTACGCTAACCCTCTAGCGTTAAAAAACATTTTCACTTTCTTACTTAATGCACTAAATTACACGAGCCAAATTAACCATTAATATTTACCTCATGATATTTCTCTCTATATATGCTAACATCTTCTGTTGAATATTGAAGGGTGTTCTAATGGATAAGAGATCAAACTTATAAAATATATTTTGAAAAATAACTTTAAAGTCACTGGTTTAAACCAGTGACATTTGGAATGAGAAATTTTGTAAATTTTCACATTAAACCTGGTAACTGTTCTTTCCTTAAAGGGGCGGTATTGTATACTTTTCCAGTCACATAGTGTCATTTTAAAAGTAAGGCAAAATCAAATAAGTTATCTTGGTTGTTCTAAAAATGTTGCATATATAAAACATAACTTAAAAGAAATCTGACTTTGTAATTTGATGCCTTGAAATGGACCCAAACCAAGGTCCATTTCAAGCTCCGCCCACCACCGACCTAGAAAATCTCACGTGGCCGGAAGTCTCACAAACAAAGCCTCGCGGTGCTTTGTTTCTATGTTAACATGGGGTCTTCCACTTGGACTGATGGAGCATTTCTGAGTCCATTATTGCATCATTTCTGCTGGATTTTCACCAAATATCAGCTGCAACAGAGGAACCAACAAGTTCATGTCATCTTTTTCGGATGACATCAAGATGTTTGAGCCGCGATGCCTCCATCATTATGCACGGAACAGCAAAATGCTTTCGGTCGATGAGGAAAACGGCAGATCCTCACACCCTCAGCATCAGTATAGCTGTGGACAAGATCACTGATGCTTACTGTTCTTGCAAGGCTGGGTAAGTCGGGCTTCATCGTTTTGTAGGTTACTTTTGAAATCAGTGGCTGATTCCTGTGGTTTGTTGGCAAATGTTTGAGTGTGCCCAGGCCTGATACACTGTACTTGGTGCTAGAGTGGCTAACACGAGTAACAGTTTAGTCAAAAGCATATTCTGCTAAAATAAAATCTTTACTGCATGCATATTGATCTGCTAACGCAGTGCTTCTCAAATAGTGGGGCGGGCCCCCTTTGGGGGGCGCGGTGCGATACTTGGGGGGGTGTGTGATCCTGGGGAACAGGCTTTTTTTTTGGCCGTACTAGTAGAAAGTGTAATTGCGCACAGTAGGCGTCAGTGGCGATCTCATTGTTACTTCTGTCACGTTTGCGACAGTGCAACATTTTACGACTTACAAGACAACAGGTTTGCCTTGGTTAGCAGTGTTAAGACAACAAAAAGCTCCGACTGCGTTCTGTCTATGGCCTCCGTTATTCAACAACCCCCAACATGAAAAAGTTTTTCACAGGGATGAAAAGAAAAGCGGAGAGAGACAAAGATAATGAGACAACAGAAAGTCAACCGAAAGCTAAGAAGAGGAAATACGACGAAGCGTATTTAGCGCTTGGCTTCACTGTGACTACAGTTGGAGAAGAGGAAAGACCGGTGTGTTTGCTGTGTCTAAAAATGCTCGCAGCGGACAGCATGAAGCCAAATAAATTAGCGCGTCACTTAAATACGTTACATCCCAATCACACCGATAAGCCGCTAGAGTTTTTTCAGCAAAAAAAAAAATGTTAATAAGGAAAAAATGTTATGCAGAGATGGATAGTCATGGTGGGGAGTGGGGGGCGCGAATAGTTTTCTTCTTGCTATGGGGGGCGTAACGGAAAATAATTGAGAAGCACTGTGCTAACGTAAGACTGTAGCAGACAGGCGTCAAGGTGTAGAATTAGTATCAGTCCTGCCATTATGCTGTACTTCGCTAAAAGATGATGGAGGTGTTTGTTATTGATTTTCTTTCATTCAGACAGAAAGAAATCAAATCAATAATACTTACACCAGCACAGACTCCTTTGATCTTGTTGATCCTATGAAGGTTGAGCTGCTCATGCGGTTTTGCACAAGCTTTGATCCAAGCAAGGCGTTCTGCTTCTGATTCGGAAATCTGTGAATTTTACTACCACAAATATGATCAGGATACCTGACATCACCAGCACAGATTACCCACTGGCAATGGAGAACCATTCTGTTTCCATTGTTGATCCGAAAACTTTCTGCCGGTCTGCAGTGTAGCCTGGTGCTACATTAGCATGCATTTACTAATGCATGCTAATGTAGCCTGGTGCTACATTAGCATGCATTTACTAATGCTGCTGGCTGAAATGGAGGATGAGATCCGCCGGCAGGTGGGAGTGGTATACAGCCAGGACAGCCAGTAAAAGTTTGACTCATTTCTGCTGTGATTAAATACAACCAGCTTACAATGGAGATGAACTTACTCAATTTACTTCAAGAATAGTTGAAGTAAATTGACTACATTAGCATGCATTTACTAATGCATGTACATTAGTTTGTGTTTGTGAGACAGCCATGCATGTGGTAGCACAGCTGCTACATAGAATGAGCATCAGCCAATGAAACGCGGCCCCTGTGTCAGGTCCATTGGGCCTCTGTCTCTTTAAGAAGCTCTTTCCAACACTCTGCTTCCAGCACGTCATCATGATGCCATTCGGAACAGTCTTAGGAGGTAAGTCTTCAATGAGGAAACAACTCTACAGCTTAAATCGATAGAAAATAATTTTCCATGAATTTTGAACAATTAAAATAGATTGAAATGAATGTGTAAACCATTATTCTTATTGGTCTGTATGCCTGCAGGTTTCTTACTGCTGGGATGTTAAAGTGAGAGTGGGGAAGAGAACGTACTGGATGTGCGTGGCAGACCCGAGCGACATCCTCACAGGAAGCTCCGTACTCCATGGCCAGAGCAGCTTCATTGACCATCTCTCCAGCTCCCTGCATCAAAAGACAACCATGTCATCAGACCGGGAGAGGACAGTCACAGTTTTATCATGATATTTTGCAGTACTGTCATGATAATGAGAGAAGTAACAATAAGAACTATTTATTACTCCTTTGTTCGGTAACTTGTACCTCTCCAGTTCTGTGCCACAGCAATTGTAGTCCTTCAAAAACAATTTCTGCTCTTTTCACCAGTCACACAAAGGAGTGTAATTTGTGTCATTAAACTGCAACTACTAACTGCATTTAATCATATATATGATGCTTTCTTTGAACAAATAGTGGAGAAAATATTTATCTTGGCAACAGAGATTTTTCTTTTTTTAAAAAACATCATTAACTGGAATTTATTGTGACATTAATAATTTAATCTAAATTATTACTACAATAAGAAATTAATCAGGCTAAATGATAACATTATAAATGCACATCCCTAGGTCAGACTACAGTGATACGATGAAGTGATACTGATCTTGAATGTCTGACTTGTCTCAGAGCCTTTCTACAGCATTTTCTACTCAGTGTGAACTGTTCTCAACTCTCACCGTTCCAAGGATGTGCGCTCCAAGCATCCGATCTGTCTCCTTGTGACTCAGAATCTTCACCATGCCGTCGGTGTCTGCGTTAGTCTTGGCTCTGCTGTTGGCGGCAAAAGGAAACTTGCCAACTTTGTATGGGACACCCTAGGGAAAAAAGTGACAGATCCATGATTGAATATAAACCGTTTGACAAACTGAAAACATGCTAGTGCAAATTAGCATTTTTGTCTGATGAACTATTTAGCCAGTTGTATCCTTTACTGTGATCTCTGACACCAATAGCACCTGACACCTATCATCTGTATGTTCTTTAAAATGTATAGAATATTTAGCCCAAACCCTCCTATGTGACTTAGAACTTTTTCTCAACTCTACTGAAACTGTAAATGAACCAAACGTGAAGCTGAAGCATGATGGGATTCTGACCTCCTGTTTAAGCTGCTCTTCTGTCTTCCCCACCCAGGCCACCTCAGGGTGGGTGTAGATGACTGAGGGAACACAGTTGTAGTCTATGTGCACCGCTCCACCAGCCATGCCTTCGATGCAGATGATGCCCTCATCCTCAGCCTTGTGGGCCAACATCGGTCCAGCGATCACATCGCCAATTGCATAAATGCTGATAGGAGAAACAGGAGGGTGGGGAGGGGCAAACAAAAATATTCAGAACCATTTAGGGTTTCATAACTGCATGCATTCTTTTAGCAGACTTATTTACAACACTAAATACAAACAAAGCCAACAGAGTACTCTTGGCTCACTGCAGTTACATTTTTTTCAAAAAATTATCTGATTGGACGCAGTAAAAGAAGGAGGAGTTAGCCTGTCAGTGAAGCTATACAAGCAGCACAGATGTCCCAAATGCTAATGCTAACACCCACACTTCACATTTCTACAAACGTCCCATGACTGATCAGGAGTCCCTGAAACACTTCAACGCTGAATGGATAGAGTAGGATCTTTCACCAATCTGATGGCTGAATAACCTAAATAACAGATTAAAAGCAACAAATATCTTTCTCATTGAGTTAATGTCTATGCATTCAGAAATTTAGCTGATAAAAGCTTTTGAATTGAAAATGTTGCTTATTGTGTCAATAGTTTGATTAAAATTCAGTTCATTAATTACAGACACTCAAATCAACTCAAAAATTGTAATCGAATCCCACCACAAATGTATATCATGTCTGTAATTATTAGCCATAAAAGCAGTATTAATATTGGCCCAAATTTTTAGATTGGTGTGAAATAAATGCTGATCATCTGTAAAATCTCAGAAATTGTTCAAATATTATTTTAGACCGAAATTAAAGAAATTGCTGACCGACGCCCTGATCTTAGAAGCTCAAAATACTTTCTTTTACTGCTAAACTCTAATCTGAATAAGTGAGTGAAATGTTGTCTCCTTGGTTGTGCGTGTTGGTCCCGTCATGGGCTGGACACTGGACCACCCCAGCTCTCATTTACTGATTCCTGGATGAAGGCAGCAGCAGGGCATGGACGGCTGAGGTTCAGTACGTCAGCAGGTGAAGGGTCGTACCCATGCACTTTGGTCTGGAAGCGGTTGTTGACCGGTATGCGACCTCTGTTGTCCAACTCGATGCCGACGCTCTCCAGACCCAGATTCTGGGTAAATGGCCTTCTGCCGATGCAGACCAGCAGAACGTCACATGTCAGCGTCTCGTTCTTTCCGCCAGCCGCCGCCTCCACTCTGCAGAGTCAAACCAAAACCATTTACAAACTGTCTGACACTAGAAGCGTGTTCTTCTTCTCCTCGTCAACTCACGCTACGTCTATTTTGCCGTCGGGCCTCTTGGTGGCCCCCAGGACTTTGGTGCCCAGCTTGAACTTGAGGCCCTGCTTCTGCAGGATACGCTGGAAGTTCTTGGAGATTTCCATGTCAATGCCCATGCCACCCACATGGCCCAGAAACTCCACTGCTGTCACCGTGGAACCCAGACGCTGCCACACCGAACCCTGCAACAGGATGGACATGTTGGTGAGAAAAATGAGCAAAATAAGAAAACAGATGAACTTGAGGCAGGGGAGGCATATCAGGCTAACCAGCTCCACTCCTATAACTCCGGCTCCGATGACAATCAGTTCCTCTGGCACTTTGTTTAGGGACAGAGCTCCAGTCGATGACACAATGGATTCCTCATCAATCTAACAAAATACAATAAATGCTTTTAGTAAGAATGAGAAACTTCAAAAGTTCCCTGCAGCTATAAATAAGTGAAAGATGGTACCTGGATCCCTGGGAAGGGGGTGACCTCTGACCCTGTGGCGATTAGGATGTTCTTAGTGTTGATAACCTGCTGGGAGCCATCTGCTGCCGTGGCAGTCACCTGATTCTTACCGGTTATTTTACCGAAACCGTTAACATGGGTTACCTGAGCAGAGAAAAGAAAAAAAAACACAGGAAAGAAAAAGATCAACTTGTAAAAAAATATCTGAGCTTTTAAAATGATAAGTAAAGCAACATGAAGTCAGACTGACTTTGTTCTGTTTGAACAGATGTGCAATTCCTCCAGTCAGGGCTTTGACTGCACCACTCTTCTGAGCCATCATCTTCTCCAGGTTTAATGAGATTCCAGAGACTGAAAGATGACAGAGAGACGATGAGAAACAGCAGAGCCCGTTACAGCCATATCCCAAAATGTTGAAAATGAATTCTACTGAGACTGATTTAAGAGAATAACAGTGCATTTTTAAGGGGGTGGAGTCATGCATTTTCCAGACACATAGTCCCATTTTATAACTATGCCATCTTCAGATGTTATGAAAATTATGTACACACAAATGACTTCAAAGAAATGTGACCTTGCAATTTGACACTTTGATATTTGCCTCTGTCTCTTTAAGAAATTCCTAATCTTTCCGACATGCTGCCTTCAGCACACGATCACAACACACCACAAAATGAAGATTAAAGAAATAAAACAAGAAGCATTGACTAGAACTAGCTTCTGCATGGATACATTCAGATTCATAAGTGTACATTACTTTAATCTGTATTCTTTACATTCAGCTTACTTTCAATGCCTCTGCTTTCAAAGTCTTTGCCGTGTGCCATCTTGTACAAGTGGGAGTTGTTTAACAGAGCCTAGAGTCAAAAACAGAAACAGAATTAGAAAAAAACTATTGATTCATCACAGCTTAGCTAATTTATGTGGCATAAAATTACAAAATGCATCTTAATGCATCTAATCACACAAGCCAGTCTGATTAGTTTTTGCACTCAGCAAGATATTTGTATTCATTTCCTCTTTGTTCTCAGTGTGAAGACATTATAAACACACTACCAATAGACCCAGCAGTAGATGGGAGCGTTCGGAAAAGCCAAAAACCACATCAAGCAAGAGCAATCTGTTTTTGGGAGTTTTTTTTGCAAAATTTAATAAGTGATGTCAAATTTTGCCATTTCTGTAAACCTATACTTCCAAATATACGTATTAAAAAAAAAGCAATAAAAACATGGCGTTTTCTACAGCCGTCTGCGTCTCTTTTTGCATAGAACGTCACTCCTGCATCTGCAGTGCTGTCTGCTGTCCATATGAAAACGAAAATATCCACAATCCTCCTTAAGTGTAGCTCCTTTTCCACGATGTAAATGGTGTGTATACTTATTCTTGTTTTCTTAAAATATACAATCATCTCTTTTATTTACACTCCAGAGCAGATGATCAATTCAATAGCGTTCCATAAACTGTACTCAGCTTCATTCGACTACTATGTTACAGAAACGTTCTGAGGTTTTCTGTGAGCAACAAACAGAGAATGATCACATCACCATGGTGACAGTAAAAATGTTTCATATCATGTCCATTCTGGGACAGCTTGGCAGTCGTCCCAGAATGACCTGCACTGGAACAAAATATTCTGCTCTGTATGTAATCTACACTTTTTTCATTTCACTGGAGGAATGGACCTGCAACCTGGAGCAAGACACAAAGTATGTTTCACTTCCTGCCACATGAGGATTAACTTTTAACTTTTGATTTTTGGTTGTTGTTTTTACATAGATTAGATCTGATTTAATTTTATTTCCTCTACAATATTCTTGTTTCATTTTTCTTTGGTACATGATTATGGCAATCTCTCATAATCATACGAGTTCATCTTTCCAATTTGCTTTCTATTTAATTTCATGTTAGTCAAGTTTTTGTCCATTAAAAAAATGGCATTGATTAAAATATCATTTTTGTCTGAGTTAAAATGAATGTGGACTGAAATGAGCCCTTTCTTCTGTTTCTTTCCAGTTGTATATTATATTTCCATTCAGAATACTGGGAATGATATTGACATTTTTAAGCTGAAATGATGGATCATAAACTTGTTTGTTACCTTTGAGGGGATGCAGCCCACATTGAGGCAGGTGCCACCCAACGTGGCATTCTTCTCCACGCACACCGTCTGTCAAAGGAATCAAAAAGTTTTCAGAACAAAAAAAAAAATGTATTTATTCACTTAAAACCCACATTTTCAACAAAAACATTGACTTCCTCTAGGTGATCAGAGATTTGATTAACCACTAACTTGTCCAGGAGCCTGCTCACCTTGAAGCCAAGCTGTGCTGCTTTGATGGCTGCGACGTAACCACCCGGACCGGAGCCGACCACGGTGACGTCTGCATCGACTGCACACAACAAATGAAGGAACATTTACTCCCAGCAGAACAGAAAGAACATAGAACATGTTGTTTCTTTAGTAAATTAAAATAGAATATCTCGGTTGGGTCTGGGCTTGTCATGACACCAAGGACAGTAAATTGGCCTGGAAGTTGTGACTAAACAATAATAATATTTTGAGACCATTTTCAAGTATATTAATGATAATGGCATAATAACATCAATAAACTTTCAATTCAAATAAACATTTAACAGTGGAAATGGGAGACATTTTGAATATCCAAAATAAATAAAACAATATGAATTATGAAGTCTCTGAAATCTAAATTGTCCTTCATAAAAGGAGTTCTCCAAGAAATTTGGAATTTGATGAAAACTTTCTAAAACTGCTGGCTGGACTTGACCACAGGTCTCTGCTTAGTGCACCTCCAACAATCACTCGTCTCAAAGACCTTGTGTTTCCTAAACATGGGAAAAAGGACTTACTTTCTGCTTTATCAGCATAAGTTCTGACAGACAAAGCCATGGCTCCATGGAGCTTTAAAGGGAGGTGGTGACTTCTCTGTTGAGCAAATCAAAGTAAAGGTTAAAAACGCCATAAATGAGAATATTGTTGTTCTGAGACCATTTTCAAGCAATATAATAATAATGGCATAGTGATTAAAATATATTGATCCTCAAGGATCAATAAACTTTAATTTTATTTTATGAACATCCATCCATCCACCGCTTATCCAGGTCGGGTCGGGGGGTGGCAGCTTCAGAAGGGCGGCCCAGACTTCCCTCTCCCCAGCCACTTCCTCCAGCTCCTCCAGGGGAATCCCAAAACATTCCCAGGCCAGCCAGGAGACATAGTCCCTCCAGCGTGTCCTGGGTCTTCCCAGGGTCTCCTCCTGGTGGGACGTGCCCGAAACACCTCACCAGGGAGGCGTCCAGGAGGCATCCTGACCAGATGCCTGAGCCACCTCAACTGGCTCCTCTCCATGTGAAGGAGCATTGGTTCTACTCTGAGTCCCTCCCGGATGACCGAGCTTCTCACCCTATCTCTGAGGGAGAGCCCAGCCACCCTACGGAGAAAACCCATTTTGGCATCTTGTATCTGCAATCTTGTTGAGGGTAGGAACGTAGGAATGTAGATCGACTGGTAAATTGAGAGCTTCAGTTTTTGGCCCGCAAAAAGCAAAGATGCGATCCTAAGGCCACCAAAATTGATCCTCTCAACATCGGGTTCAAGCGTTGCCACTGCGACAGGCACCAACAACCTTGTGGCCAAAGCTTTCATAAGACGCCTCGGAAATGGAGGACTGGAACATGATCCACTCAGACTCAATGTCTTCCACTTCCCCGGGACATTTTTGAAGTTCTGCCAGAGGTGGGAGTTAAAGCTCTGTCTCACAGAATATTCTGCCAGACATTCCCAGCAGACCCTAACAACATGTTTGGGTCTGCCAAACCAGGATCCTCCCCCACCACCGGAGCCAACTCACCACCAGGTAGTGGTCAGTGGACAGCTCCGCACCTCTTTTCACCTGAGTGTCCAAGGCAAACGGCCACAGATCCAATGACCAAGTCGATCATTGAACTGCGGCCTCATGTGTCCTGGTGCCAAATGCACCAGCACATTTGGCACCAAATGTCCTGGTGCAGGTCATTTGGTGCTCACAACCCTTATGTTGATACCTTGTCTCATCTTGTAAGTTTAAGGTATAATTACGTCACAATTGTAAAAACAAAAAAAATTAAATGCTTAATTAGCTAAATAAACTGATGACTAGACTAGAATATTAGGTCGCAGGTATTTCACATAACGATAATAACCTCTGACAAAGTGTACAAAAACTGCTTGTCTTTATCGTGGCATCTGTTACTGGGGGGTGGAAGAAGCCTGTCCTCGAAGTTTATGCTTTAGAACCAGGTACAATTAGTACATAACTATTAAGGTCATTCATTTATTATGCTACATTGATGTGAATAGTATTGAATGGGAGGTAAGCATTCCTGCTGGAACTGTGTACATTTCAACACAGTTGCAGGGTTGGATGACGCCTAAGTAAAAATAATAGCCTGCTTAGCTGTTATTTTACATGTCAGTCTTGCATGAAAACAAGCCATGGTCTGCAAGAATTGCAATATTAACTCATTACTTAACTATTAAATCTTTGCAGTGAAAGCCAGCAGTATGAGTTGTACACACCACTTTACCAGATAATGTCTGTTAGCAGAGCAGCTAGCCACCCTCTAGCTGGCTAGTCCAAACAAATGCCTCGTAAAAGTTGCTGCGGCCGCCGCTTGGTGAACATTGTACCAGAAACCAGGCTCATCCTTACCGTGGCGAGAGAACGGTACAGCTGAGTACAGCTCTGCATTTTGTCTGTGTCCCTGACAGAGAGGAAGTAACCTACAAGAAGGTTAGCCGAGCAAGGAAGGACTTATGAAATTCTTCTTCTTTCTAAGGACGTTGGCAAACCACCACCAGGTCGAATTACTGCCACCCTCTGTATCGGAGTGCGAACTCCCATCTGCTCACAATCACAGAAGGAAAGTTAAATGTATACTTTTCTTCAAGATAAATACTAAGCCCATTAATAATAACAAAAAATAAATAAATCAACAAAAAATAATGAACTAGTTAATTAATTAGTTAATTATTTGTTCTCAGAAGATGATATTGAACTCAACTCTCAAATATTTAACTCAAAAATTACAGAAGTTATGGAACCCTTCCTTAAAAGAAGTCAAGGAAATAAAAGGAAATACCATCTGCCCTGGCTAAATAATAACTGTAAAAAACTTATGAAAGAAAGAGACATTTTGCTTAAAACCTCTTTAAAATCTGGATTGACTATTGATTTACCTCCATGAGGAATAAAACAACTAATGCATTGCATAAAGCCAAAGCAAATTTCTTTTTGGATGTTATCAAAAGTGCAAGTGGAAATGGCAAAATCATATGGCAAAATATAAACAAACTGATCCGTAAGGAACATAGAACGGTCAATAACAGTCTGGAAATAAAAGTGAATAATAAGTTACTGACTAATCCAAAAGAAATAGCAACTGAATTCAATAACATTTTTATTTATTCTGTTAATGAAATAACAGATGTTCACTCAGTCAGATATACCTTATCAGTCTACTGATCTCAGACAACCTAGGTTTAACTTAGAGCAAATCACAGTTTGAAGTTGCTAGAATAATTAAATCAATGAGGGCCTCGAAAGCCAAAGATGAATATGGGCTTGATACACAATTTTTAAAAACATATATAGACACACTAGTGTGCCCAATAACATATCTGATAAATGCATCCATCAGAATGGCAACAGTTCCATCAGGTTGGAAGGTGGCTACAGTCTCACCAATTTTTAAATCAGGAGACAAAACAAATATGTCTAACTATCGTCCAATCAGCATCCTTCCTGTTTTCTCCAAGGTAGCAGAAAAATGGATTTTGAAGCTGCTGAATAAACATCTCAGCTACCACTCTCTTCTGCACCCCATGCAGTTTGGGTCCCGTCAGTATCATTCTACAGAAACGGCAAATTGTGTCTTCGTAGAAACAGTGAAATCTCTGCTTGATAAAACCACCTGCGTTGGTGCAGGTGGTTTTAACTTACTTAATTAACTTACTTTAATTTTGCAGAAGTTGCACTCATCTGGTTTCAGTTTTATTTGTCCAACAGGAGACAGTCTGTGAGTGTAGGGGGCACAATCTCGTCATATCTTCAATGTCCAGCAGGGGTCCCCCAGGGCTCTATTTTAGGACCAATATTGTTTTCCATGTATATAAATGACTTGCCAAATGTGTGTTCACATGTCCATTTCCAAATGTATGCTGATGATGCAGTTATCTTTACATCTGCTAAAAGCACCCAGGAAGCTTCATCAAGTTTGACATCAGCTTTGGAGAATATATAGCATTGGCTTTTACAGTCATCTTTATTATTGAACCAAAAGAAAACTGTTTCAATGATGTTCACAAAAACCCCATAAAACTGGAGCGGTCCAGTGTGTTCCTGGGGGGAACAGAGCTTGACCTTGTGCAGGAGTTCAAGTACCTCAGAGTCACACTGGATCCAACACTGTCCTTTAAAAAACACATTAAACTCACAGCAAATACAATCACATTAATCTGAATAACTTTAAACAAATCAGATCAACGACAATTAACTCCGCAAAAATGTTCCTGTTGGCTCATTTACATGAGCCAACGTATTAATTAAAATATGTTTTAAGCTGGTATTTTCCCATATGATTGACAGAAGACTTTTAAAAAATCTGTCAGTTTCATAAAGCTAAAGACAGAAAAAAAAACTTGTCACCTGTTTAAACGAGAGACTGTAGTTTCATGATCTTCAACAAATGCATCTGGGGAAGGACCAAATGGTTTTCCTTCAGAGTTTTATAGAGGATTCTGGCATATGTTATACAAATTCCATCTGTAATAATGGATTTTGAATGTAATTGCTGCTCTTTCATTCTAATAAGGGACAATGGCATATGCAAAGACACACAGAAGCACACAACACAACCTCTGATCTCACACTAACCGTCTTGAATGTTTTTGAGCTTTTAATAGGATTAAAGTAAATCTTCTCAGGACTTGAGCTGCAGCCGTCTGCCGTGTTCTTCGTCTTTCAAAGACTGACGAATGAAGCCAAACGTTTCTCTGGACAAATGAAACTCTAAGACAAAGGTAAAACTTTTCTCTTTAGCACACTTAGGATTGAATTAAAAACTTAAAAAATATGTTTGTTGACATGTTTATTAAATTTGGTAAGCATTTAGAAAATCCTGATGACAATGCAATGCATTTCTGCGCTTCTGACTCACAATTAAAGTAAATGGAGCAGATGTTTTATAGAAATTTCATTATGTGAAAATGTAAAGAAATCAACCAACGTATTGGAAACAGAAAAGCATCAACCTCCAGAATTCTGGTTTTCTTCAGGTAGGAAAACAATCATTGTGCTCAGGAAGGAGACGGGTTCTGTGTTAGAGACAAAGGTGTTTTGGTGTGAAATGTATTAACCCCAACCATATTTCTATACCGTGAAGACTCACTGCATTCTTTGTGATAGATATTCTGCTTCCACGATGCGTTTTCATCAAGTTAGCAACACCAATACCTGACATAATCTTGGAAAAAATCACCAGCCAAGAAACCTTTTCTGATAATTACCTAATTTTAACCACTCCTGGAAATATCAATGAAAACTACATTCAACTTGTTTACGCAAAAATCAGTCACAAATATTATTAATATAAGATCATATTTCCTTGATATTAATTAATAAGAATATAAGTAGCAATTCAATAGCAAAATATTTGACTTTGATTTCAGACAACTTTAGCGTCTTTAATTGCACAGTCAATTCCTGTTAATAAAATTAATGTATCACACATGAAAGTTCACTTCCTTTGCAGCTAATGTAAAAAAGAAAAAAAACACCAGAATATTTCAGGGTTGAAAAAGACAGTGAGCCCTTTCTAGCCTTGGAAACTCCTGGAAACTTTGTTAGCTTGGCTGCCATATTTGGCTTAACTGCATCCTAAATTCATACAATTATCTAAATTCTGCTTCTAGGTTTAATAATACAGTATACTCAAAAGGGTTAATACCATAGAGAATACATCCCCAGTCTTGAACCAAGGGGCCACATTGTTCCAAAAGCATACATTGAAAACAGAAAATCCTTTCTTCAAAGTGAATCATTCATCACTTTACTGTTTGTTTGACTTATTTCACTACTTACTTTCTGTTTGGATTTTCCACCAACCCTTCAGCAAAAAATCTGCAGTTCTGTCAGGACAAAGGGTACAAAACTGTGGAAGACATAATATACAATTTAAATGGTGTAACTAAAGCTCTGAATTTGAAAGAGGAACAACCTGTATAATGATGACGAGTTATCTGTTTTAAAATTATGGCATTTAAAAGTGGAAATAAAATCAGTAAAAGAGGAAAAGATTACACAGTTTAAAAAAAGGTCTAGCCTTAAGACTTAGCCAGCTGATGCATTAATCAACCTCTTATGAGTGTAATTAAAATAAAACCAACATATCTGCATGTATGTTTTGCAGGTCACCAAGATGCAGCTTGTCTTCTTGCTTGAACTGTTTCTCTGGTTTCTTTATATCAACGATGTGGAGGCAGCGACTTTTAAACTGGCCCTGGTTGGACCCTGGTCCTGTGACCCCCTGTTCTCCAGAGCGATGCCATTAGCTGCGGCTAACTTAGCATTATCTCGGCTCAGAAGCGACAGCTACATGAGCAGAGGTTACTGGTATGATGTGAAACTGCTCAACGAGGACTGCTCTGTTTCCAAAGGTGTGGCACCCAAATACCGCATAAATGTTTTATCTGCAACGACATGGAAATGTACAAAGGCATATTAGGGGTATAAAAAAGTGGAGTAAATTTCTACCAGAAGAGTTTGAAAAGTCAAAAATGTGCCAAAATAAAATAGATTAATCTGTGAAGTTTTTGAGAAAAAAACTTTTTTTATAATGTTAATTTCAACTTTTCAAGCTCATGTGTTTGTTTAAGAACATTTCTTCGATTAATCTGCAAATTTCTGAGTTATTTGGCAGAAATTTCCTTTTTTTATTTGTCTTAATACATTCAGTGTGTGATACGGTCTGCACAGTAGAACCGCGATACGGTCTGCACAGTAGAACCGCGATACGGTCTGCACAGTAGAGACGGTATCAGGAACTATATCGCACACTGTAAAAGTAACATTTTAAGGATGAATTAAGAACAGTGCAAACTGAAAATGTCTTGATTTTTCTAACCAATGTGAAAATGGCATGTTATACGAAAAAGAACGACTTATTGTTGCTTTGTTTTTATAATTCAGTTCATCTGAATATTTTGAGCTGCATCATATCTTAACAAACCTGTGATACTTGCCTCCTTTCAAGCATTGACTGAGTTGGGGGAAATGGAGGGTTATGGTCACGCTTACATCGGACCTTTCAACCCGACCCTCTGCCCCGCTGCGTCCTTATTCACCCAGCACTGGGAGGCAGGGCTGGCTTCTCCAGGTTGTCTGGATGATGACTGGCTGAATCTGCCCCCAGTAACGCCTCCGATTAAAGTCCTCAAAACTGTCCTCAGATTCTTCCGCTGGGCTCACGTTGCAGTCGTTTCAGGTGAGGAAGTCATTTCATACCACATAGGTCTGAAGTCATTAAAATGGACTTTGCAAATTGAAGTATAGTTGACAGTGCCCCAAAACACACACAAACATATCATATTCCCCTTATGGATCAAGTTATTACTTTTGGATTGATCTGTGGAAATGATGCGCCCTATGTGTTTTCACAGCATGCAGCAGATTGTGAGTCAAAAGGGGCGTGGCTTATAACTCCCAGAATTCACAAGATCAACTATATTCATACAATCTTGAATTACCCTTCAAAAGTTCACATTATCTGGCCTCTAACTGG